GTTTGGAGCCCAGCATTTTTTTACAGTGAATTATCTAAGGGTCTATTTTGAGGATGATTTTTGGTTCCTTTCTTGACTTTGCTGTCTATAGGGGTCAGAGAGCTCTTAGATTTTACCTAAAATATCTAAATATGAATGAAGGTCTCATGGGGTTGGTGCAACATGTAATTGATGCACAAGTTTTAATAACAGAATTGAAATTTTTTGGGGAATTAACCCTTTATTAGGATTTATAAGACAGGACAGACATTACTACCAGTTACCAGAGTAACACAACATAACTGGGTGGAATCTGAAAGTCTTGTCTAATTTTTAGCATTCTTCTTTTCCAAATATCTAATCATATATCTAAATCTATATCTAAATCTTTTTTTCAGAATATATATACAGGCTGTCCACGGATCCTTAAAAAGTCTAAAATTCTGTAGTATAAAAATAAGACTAAAATTTGTCTTAAAATGTTTAATTATTTTGTTTCTGTTTTGAAATGTACTTCAAATCTCTATGTCTATTTGTAACTCAGATCAAAATAGACTGAATAATAATAGCTACAGCTACGTCAACCATTACATTAGCAAATAAAGAACTTGGGATACACCGACTGACAGCCCAGAGACTAGAATCAGTCAATTGTTTTGTATAACCGGCCTGACTGGTGACTGATAATTCTGCTGCATCCTAATTATTATTATTAGTCAGTTAGAAGACAGTATTTTTGTACTATTACTATATATAATAAATAAAGTTAGTTAAAGAAGGTAATTTTTCATTAATTCAGTACTACACTACACATTTGGCCTTATAATTCTTCAAATTTAATTCTGTGTGGTATTAAAAATCTCTTAATTTTTTGAAACATAACTCTAAGAAACCAGAGCCCAGTTTTTTAAAAGTAATTTAGTGGGATTTTGGATCACAGATTGGATCAATCTTGGAAATAAGTTTTTCAAAAGTAACAGAGGGATTTTAAATTAAGATCAGACCATTTACTTCAATTTTACATTTCTTTGATTTTGATCAAACCTGTACTTTGGGTTATTCAAAGCTTTGAACTCAGATTGGGATCTATTTGATCCAAAAAAACTGGATTATTCTCATCTTATCAAAAGAGTCGATTCAGTTCTTATTCAGTGAATAATCACAAACTTGGTTACTGATGATATATAAATTCCTTCATATTTGAAACCTATATGAAGCATCTCACATCTAATGAGATATGGTAAACAACAACAAAACAATATCAAAGCGGTATTGTATTAGAACAAACATTGGAACAAAAAAAAATGTCAAATGTTTGTTAATTGCAGTGTTTCTCTTTCTTACCATTAAAACAAACAATGACTTTTTGTGGTCAATGGTATTTTGCCTATCTGTTATTCTTTGCTAAGCCATTAGGCTACACCGTTGGTTCCATTTAGGGCTCTGGTAAACAGGATTTGGTAATCCTGAAATTTGGTATTTGAATCAAAGTGACCAATGGTTCTTTAAAAACTGTCATAAAAGAAAGAAAGGTCAGTTCATCCTGGACAGCAAAAACACATTATCCGGAAAACATTTGATCCAGATTAATTTTTTTTTTCGAAAAACTGGGCCCTGCAGATACTCTGATGTAACAGGACTAAGTAGTGGATTGGAAATGTACAAAACTCTAAGTTGTTCTTTAATTTTGATCTCCTCTGTAGTTTTTGTATTTAATAAGAATGAACTAGAAGAACTGCCTGACATGCACATGAAAACCTGAGCTTCTCTGCATTTGTTATTTTACACAGACTCTGGAGGAACTCAATTGCCAAAGATGATGAAAATCTGAAAGATCCCAAACTCAACTTTTCATCGGTTTAATCCCTTTCTTTCTTTTTTCTATTTTGGATTTAGTTTTTTTGTGTTTTACTTTTTTATATTATAAATACTACTAGTTCTGTGCTCTTTGCATTTTTAGTTCAGTGCTATTTGCACTATTTATACAGGGAACACATTACCTCATTTGAGCAATTCATTACACCAAACGATACAGTTTCCAGCAGTTCAGGGATGGAAAATCTTTTAATGTCCATGTAATAGAAACAATATTCTCTAGTCAGTAAAAAGAAAGAGCATGTGAAATAGCTCAAGAGCATTTTAAGAGCATAAAAATATTTCTAAGCCAGATGGCACATTGAGGCAGGCAGCTCTCTTGACACACACATGCTCTTTCTTTTCTGATCCACTGACATCTATTATAGGCATTTATGCACTGATCCACCTTGGACATCACACTGTTGTGTTCCCTTTTGAATTACGTATTTATATCTGCATTTGACTTGATCTGCTCAGCTTTCATCTACAGAACTAATTTTGTTATTTGCGATATGCTTCATTCTGTTGTAACTGTAAGTGAAACTGCACAGTGCTTGAATTACTGATACACAAAACCACTTTCTTTGTCACAGTAGTTGCACTGATCAGTTTGCATTTATTATGCCTATTCATGCCTTTTTTGTGTACTTTAATAAAGGTGATTAATCACTTCTTTTGGACAACAGTTTAATTACATCTCAACATTGAATTGAAATAATAAGGATAAATTATGTACAGAACTATTCTATAGTAGACACTAGTCAGCATTTGAAATTGTTCAAAAACCCTTTTCAAATCAAAGTTGTCCTAAAACTACTCAACATCCATTAATGTCTTAGGAAAACTTTGAAAAAACATCAAATGTTGGCTACTTTATATTAAAACAGTCTTTTTTAAAGTAACAGTTCACCCAAAACTGCACATTTCATCAAACTGTCGTCATTTAATCACTCTTCACTTGTCACAAGCTTGTTTTTTTGTCATCGATTTCTTATTTTTGCGAATAGCACATTTTAAAACAACCCACACACCATATACAATTATACATAACCCAGACAAAACAATCCCCAAATAAAATAATCAACATCTGATAAAATTTTTTAATAAAAATGTCACAAACATGTACTTTTCTTCTGCTGAACACAAAACAATATTCTGAAATAAAATAAAGATATTATATTAGTAAAGTAATATTCTGAAAAATAGTCCACGTTTTTCTAAATATGGAAGTCGATGTTTACATTTCCATTATTTTCCAAGCTTCTTCAATATATTCTTTTGTGTTAAACACACGAAAGAAACTCATAAAGATTTGGAAACAATTAATAAACAAGTAAATTTTCATTTTTGTCATAATACAGTAGGTGCTTCTTAGTGGAAGTGGAGCCTCTTTTTGCTTTTTAAAACTGATTCAACAAAGTTTTGAAAACAATTTTGTTCTGTATGGACATGGCTGCACCATATCATTGCAGCAGATTTGCTGGCTGCACATCCACTATGTGTTTTTCCATTCCAGGCAAATCCCAAAGGGGTCAACTGGGCTGACATCTGGTAACTTGAGAGGCCATTTAATGTTAAACTCACTTACATGTTCAAGAAACCGGTTTTCAAACATGTGCCACCAATTTATACCCCACAGCACTGTATCACATCACATCTTATTCTGCTGTTGCTGTTGTTCATCCGGTTCAAGGTTTAATATGTTGTGTATTCAGAGATGCTCTTCTGCAGACCTCGGTTAAAACGAGCAGTTGACTTTCAATCAGCTGAACCACTCAGGTCATTCTCTTCTCATCTCTGGCACCAACAAGGGGTTTATCAAAACTAGAAACCTATTGTCATGACCAAGTCTACATGCCTAAAGGCACAGAGTTAGATATCTGTGTTAATAAGCTGTACCAAAAAAGTGTATAGTGATACATTTCAAAATCTTTGAAAGCGATTAGTTGACTTTACTTTAAAAAGTGTGTGAACTAGTTGCTTTAAATTAAAGTAAATTACATATCTGCATAATTATAAAAATTAAGTTTAGTCAACTTTACAGTTTCAAGTTACAGCAGGTTTACTATCTGTTTTAATTAAAGTCAACTTGTTGTTTTTGATGGGAAAAATGCTGGTTGTTGGCACTCATTGACATCCATGGTAATGTTTTCCTCCTACTGTGGAAGTCAGCTGGTGCCAGCAACCATCATTTTTCAAAATATCTTCTTTTATGTTGTTTAACAGATGAAATAAACCCATAAACATTTAGAATCACATACGGGGAAATAAATGAAGTAATTTTTAATATTGAGTGAAGCATCTCTTTGAATAGTTCACCCAAAAATGAAAAATTGTTCATTTACCCTCACTTCACTTGTTCCAAAGCTTTTTGAGCTTGTTTATTCTGCTGAACTAAAAGGAAGTTATTTTGAAGAAAGCATTGACTTCCATGAGATTTGTTTTTCCTACTAGGCATGCGCAATGGTTACAGGTTTTCAGCTTTTGAATTTTTTTTTTTTTTTTTTTTTTTGTGGTGCACAGAAGAAACAAACTCAAAAAGGTTTATAAAGACGTGGAAGTAAGTAGTGACAAAATATCTGTGTAGTGGAAGTATTTAAAAAGTGTCCCTTTTCTCAAACATAATGCACACTACTGTATCACTGCTAGATGGCAGTACAGCATCAATGCTAAGGATGTGGATCGCTATAGACTTGTGTGTGTTCATTAAAAACTGCTGGTCACCTGGATTAAACCACACATGCCAATCATGATAACATGGATGATGTATAGAATAATACAGAAAAAAAGCGTCCAGTGTGTATAGCTGTCAACAACTATGCTGACAGTGACTTCGTCAATTCAATCTCAAAAATGATCCTTCATCAGTCTCTGCTTCTTTATCAGTCTCAGCCTTTTGTTAATATTTTAAAATCAAATTTGATTGAAGTGGTTGAAATCAACAACGACCAAAGCACGTGTTTGTTTTATTCACTGTAATTGGCTACATATGAAAATATACCTAAAGATTTTTATTCTCCCTCTCAAGTTCTCCAGAACATTTGCGCGCGTCCGCGCTCTAGCAAAAATCCATCAAGATAAAAAAGGCACAAACGTAAAACACGTGTTAATTTACTAGCTTTCCACCTTTTTTTTCCTATTAAGCTCTTCCCGGCGGTGGCATCGTTGAGAAGAACAGGCGAGCTCTGTAATGACAGATGTGCACACGGGCGGAGTTCAGAGCTGTGAAAACTACACAACTGTTGGTTCATTGAGCGCGCGACTCTGGAAGTCTGCACGCGCGGGAAGCACTTTCTTCCTCTTTAACGTCGTTTACCATCTGATAAATCATAACTGGCATATATTATTATCTGGATGGATAGTGTAATCAACCCACAGACATTTTGAAGCGCACAGCTGCTGCCACATTACTACAAATAACGACAGAAGACGCTGAAGAAAAGTAAGGCTGCGCATTGCTTCGAGAGGTGAGTTAATGAGTTATACAGTGACTTTATGAAGTATTCATTACCATACACAAACATGAAGGGTGTTACTTTTTAACATCTGAAAGGAAGTACGATTAGCATAAAGAGTTCAGGTGTGCACGCTTATGAAAACAACAAACAGTCAAGCCATATATGCGATTAATAATTTTGCCTTATAACAGAAGCCTCCGGACTCCGAACGTTAACACAACTGCGTCAAGAAATGCGTAAAGATGATCAACATGATAAACCTTTATAAAATACATTTGCAAAACATGTTAAGTTCTTTGAAATGTCATCTTTAAATCATGAATTGAGGCAAAAAGGGCCACCCTAATGCAACAAACAAACAACAAAAACGAGTTTAACTGAGTTCAATCTATTCCTGTTGGTTGTACAAATGTATAAATTTGCATAAAGTTTTATACAAAGTCTTATATTTAATGAACTTAAATAAACGTAATGCATGCATATAGTATAATGCACTAACATTATTAAACCCCAACACTTAAAAAAATACTAATATTATAAAACATGCTTGACTGTTCTGCTTTAATAAAAAAACAATAAGTAATAAAATAAACAAAGTAATAAAATAATCATAAATAAAAAAAGTATGATAGCAATAGATTTTTGGATTTAAATTGAATAACATGGTCAGCCTACTATATGTGTATGCAAGTTTTTCTTAAATTGGGTTGCATTTAATAAAATTTTTGAACAACATTAGATCCTGGTTAAAAAAAAAGAATAATTATTTTTGGGAAGTTGACTAATATTTAACTGCTACATCCGCTACAGCCTCCATTCATATTGTCCTGTTAGTCATTATAAACTTTTTTCTCAATGCTCAATGGTTTGTCACCTCATCATAGAGTAAACAGGATGTCGCACTGTATAATATTTAAGCGAATATGTGGTTGGCAGTTGAGCAAAACTGGTGTTGCATAAACTGCACTAAAAAGTCACATATTTGTAAATACCTTGTAAATATAGTCATGCATTCTTTAAATTGCAGTTGAACATGTAACCCAGTTTGTTTACTAACTATATGAATCCCAAAATTTAAAACTTACAATCAGTATTTTTTAATGAATGTATATTCAATAACAACAGAAGAGTGAATTGACATCATGTAGCTTAGATCTTTCTCTCTGTTGCTATTTTGCACACTATTGTACATGATGAAGATGATGAATGGAAGTATGAAAGGGAAGCGATGTAATTATGTTGCAAGATAAAATCCCTAGAAAATCTCTAAATGTGTGATTTATGTCTGGAGTTCTGCAAAAGGCACTGCTTCTGAACATAATAATATACCACAAAATTATGTGTTTAGTTTACCTTTAGGGTAAAGTTCAAGTTTATCATGTGATTACCTTAGTTCACCTCAAAATCTCTAATCAAACTTCAGTAATTTCAAAGACAGAAGTGACGCTTATATTTTTGTGAAATTATTTATGATAATTAATTTTATACCAATTATGCTTTGTTTGAGCAATAACATTTTTTAGCACAAGTCGACTGGTTTATGCACTGTAAAAAAATTCAGGGATACAGACAATTCATTCCTGTTGTCTCAACACAAATCAATTACGCTAACTTAACAAATTTAAGTGGATTGTACATAAAATAATTATGTTGTCCCCAAGAATTGTGTTGTTTAAGCTTATTTTAAATAAACAAGCAAGATATTAAACATTTTTTGTGTGCAAACTTGGGCTGAAATATTTCGCACATTCGCTAGTTTTCCCCCTGGAGCCGCAGATTTCCCCCACAGTCCAAAGATATGCGGTACAGGTGAATTGGGTAAGCTAAATTGTCTGTAGTGTCTGAGTGTGAATGAGTGTGTGTGGATGTTTCCCAGAGATGGGTTGCGGCTGGAAGGGCATCCGCTGCGTTAAAACGTGCTGGATAAGTTGGCGGTTCATTCCACTGTGGCGACCCCGGATTAATAAAGGGACAAAGCAGAAAAGAAAATGAATGAATGAATCTATTTATGTATTTAATGTGTGTTTAATAACCCCACAATACTCCTTAATTTTTTTAATTAAAATGTATTCTTTGTTTGTTTATATGTTAAGTACAGCTCAGAATATGTGTGTTGTTTAATTTTTACATAAATATATTTATTACACTGAATAACATAATTTCACCTATATTTTCTCTAAAATGATTTAAAGCATGAGACATTTTACTTGTATTTAATATTTTTGCCTTTCCTAGATATATAAAATCACTTTAGACACATTTTTATTGATTCAGACATCAAAATAAGAAATATAATCTAATTTTTAGAGGGCGGCACGGTGACTCTGTGGTTTGCACTGCCACCTCACACCAAGAAGGTCGCTGGTTTAGGCCTGGGCCAGTTGGCATTTCTGTGTGGAGTTTGCATGTTCTCCCTGCGTTCACGTGGGTCTCCTTCGGGTGCTCTGGTACTGGTTTGCAGCTGGAAGGGTATCCTTCTCTGCGTAAAACATATGCTGGAATAGTATTAGTAGTGTATGAGTGTGTGTGTGAATGTGTGTTTAGATGTTTCCCAGAGATGGGTTGCGGCTGGAAGGGCATCCTCTGCGTAAAAACTTGCTGGATAAGTTGGCGGTTCATTCCGCTGTGGCGACCCCGGATTAATAAAGGGAATAAACCGACAAGAAAATGAATGAAAGAATAATATAATATAATATAATATAATATAATATAATATAATATAATATAATATAATATAATATAATATAATATAATATAATAGTCATTGGTGCAGTCTGATGATTTTCATGGTTCAGCAATCAAAATAAAAATGCAGATTGTTTTATTTCTACAATCTGTATGATTCACTAAGACTATAGATATAAGTAATACAATCATGTAAATGGATCAAAAACCATAGCACCTACTGTCATATTTGATTACAGCTCTCCACTCTAATGTTTTCTACACATTATTGCCTAACCGTGTGTTATCTAAGTAATGAATCAACCTAAGTTGATGATAATCTAGGCTAAGTCATATCGGATATGTGTTTGTGGACTGATGTTAGGAGGACACTGAATGATTTTATGGACAACACAGATTACACCAGAAAGCTTGAGAGGAAGGTTACTCATTCGTGGAGTTTCTGACGCTGCACAAACCACACGTCTCATCCAGTTGTGTACTTTACTTATAGTGTTGAGACTGTGTGTTAGTTTTTCCATGACATCACAGTCATGTGGAGCGTGTCATTATTCTGGGAATGGCTGGAAAAGTTGCCACACTATATAATGGTTATTTGAGTGTGGAGTTTATTTAGAATTAAAGCAACCTTACAAACGCAAAGATGCCATTTTGGGATTCAAACTTAGGTGAGTTTTTGTCTCATTGGCATAGGAACAAGTTTATGTTGTCAATAATAGCAAGTGTGCACCAAATCGTTTTGTTTCTGATTTTCTTTCAAATATCAGACTTTGAGACTGTTGTGAAGCAAGTGATGTGATTAGGGTCCTGAATAGTTCATAAAACACCTACTCATTAATTCTTCTGTTAAATTGTGTATATTATTTAGGGTGTAATGCAGTTTATGCAACTATTTTATAGCTTTGAGCTTTATAGTGCTGTGTTGACAAAGTGTGAGGTTGAAAAAGGTTGTAAAATGAGCATAAATTTACTGACTGTAATCTTATTAACACATAGTGTTAACCTCTTGTCTATATGTCTTAAACGATGAGTACACTGTTAAAAAAATTGTTGAGAAAACAAAAAAACTGCCAGAAATATAGAAACATTTAATTTTTCTAGTCACAATAAAGACATATAGCTGTGGAGAAAAGGAAGAGAGCAACTGAAAATCAAGTTATATTTTGTATATTAAAATAATTTTTAATTTTATTCCATAAACCAATAAGGATGCTCCGATCAGGATTTTTGCGGCAGATGCTGAGTATTGATTTCTTGCCATGGTGATCGACTTAGGCATCGACTTTATATAACTTAGGCATTACATGAGAACATTTTCCCTTATTTTGCTTACATGTAATGGCCAGTAGCAGCTTTATAAAATAAAACAGATTTAAAAAAATGGTAGGAAAAATGCCATTTGCAACCACTGCTCATGGGTTGTAGCGCTGCTGATGTATAACCCAGGCACGCACATGCATCTTTCTCTGATTGTAAACAAACACTTGCAATCAGTTCATGAGATGGGCCAGATCAGTGAGTACTGATTCAGTTGTGAAATTTGATCAGCTGTTACCGATCGCCAGCCAATCAATTGGAACATCTCCAAGTTAAAATAAAATGTTGCCATTTAGCATGAAATAACAAAAAGGTTTATATATGTTTATATTCTTTTTTTTTATAATAGCAATGTTTTAATTTCAGAAGAGTTATCTATATTTGGTGGAATATCTGATTGTTAGTTGCAACAAATGAAAACACTTGTTTTTTTACTCTGACCACCTGTCGTTATTTGGAAAAAAGGCTCTAAATGACAACATTTTAACTTGAAATTTGCAAGGAAAGTTATCATAACTTTATTGAATAAAATAAATAATAACATTTTACTCATAAACCATACCGAACAATCTCCTAAATGTGAGCTCTGAGACATTTAGTAATGTCAGTTTACATTTCATGCTTCTTTAAAAAACGTTTAAAAACGGTATGTCAAACAGTGTGCCATTAGACCTATTATAGTATTCAACGTTTATATTAAGGAAACTAATTAACAATTTTTTTATTGTGGAATTTTACAGTGATTTACTATAAAAACAATTACAGTAATTGTATGTTAAAGTCTTTGCCCCATTTACTTCCATTGTACAGAAAGTTGACTAATCTACATTTTTACATACATTTGTGCACAGTCAAACCAACCAGTTCCTCTCCTTAGCATGATTAGTTGTAACATTACAGGTGATGTGTTGTGATTGTGTAAAGTCATTTTCACTCGTGCTTCGTCTATGGTGGTCACAGCCTAATTGTGGTTTGTGACATTAACACAGAAAGCGACAGTGGTACATCAGTATCTAAGCAACAAGAGCCCTCGCTGTTTTCCTCATGTCGTGGTGTGACGCTCGTCTTCTGTGAGCGTGTTTGTCTGCGTGTGCAAATCATACAGTGTTTTCGGGTTTATTCTTGATTTAAGGAGCTTTCTGTCGGAGGACCATGCAGTTATTACCAAAAAAAATAGTTGGTTAAAGGAAGCAGTGCAATGCACTTCTTTACTAAGATCCAGGTTTACTGTTTTATTTTATTTTTTCAGTGGAATTGATTATTAGTGGTTTCTTGTACATCTAATCAGTGGCTTAATTTCAGTGTGTTATTTTAGAGTTAATGCCGTTAGTAATATACTTATAACTGGAAGAAAGAGAGTATGATTTACATATGTCTGGCAGCAACATCTCTACTACTCATGGCAAAAATAAGTGTAAGTTGAAGAAACGCTCTGCCGTTGCAGAGACTCTGGTATGCAGTTAATACTGTTGTGATTTTTTTTTAAAAAAGGACAATACTTATATAGATAGTTGAAGGTACGATTATTAGGAGTAGTTTGTTCTGTAGCCAATGAAAAAAGATTTCTTAAGGGGACTAATATGATTGTCAATAAATATTTACAGAATTAAAAACTTTCTTTATTCCAGCTAAACTAAAAGAAATAAGACTTTCTTCAGACAAAAAATATAATAGGAAATACTGTGACAATAACGTTGGCTTCAAATGTATATTCTTACTTGACAAAACATATGATTTGACAGCAAAAAATCTGAAACAGACATTTGTTACAATAAAACACTTTTTACTTGTTAAAAAGGTGGATATTTTCTTGCACATTTTGTAATTAAGCATGATATTTTATTGTTGTTTATTTTTGTAATTGTGTTTATCACATTTAATAGTGATAAACACAATTACAAAAATAAACAACAATAAAGTACGTTTTATATGGCAGAAATTGCTTGCATAATGCTGAGAAATAGACATGAGAGAAACAGTGGGGTCCAAAAGTCTGAGACTACTGGTAAAAAAACTTATATTTGGCATTGAAATTATATTAAATTTGCATGTCCTAAAAATTTTATTTGGAAAAAAATTACCCTGACAGGGAAAAAAAGAAGTTTTCATGGTTTTTGTGCTTTATCCATACAGTATGCTAAATGACAATAAAACGTGATTTCATGCATATTTTGTCATTTTATTTTAAAAAAAGTTATTTAAAACATTAAAGTAGACAATTTGTTCCCAATTTATATTAAGCAGCTGTAATTACTATGTACTTGCATCAAAAAATGTATACAATGTACTTTTGTTCATAATGTATTGCAGAACACTTCTGATGCTATTGAGCTGGGATACGGGTAGGGTTAGGAACAGATTTGGTTGTATGGGTAGTTAAAGGTGTAAGGGATGAGACAACAGTGCAATTAAATTTGTAGTTACAGAAAGTACATTGTAATGAATGATTAATTTCAGTGTAATTACATATTTAGTTAAGGTCTCTAATTTAAAGTAGGACGAACTTTACTTGCAGTTAATAAGGTTTAATGTGTAAATCACATTTTTAAGTTTATTTTAATAATTTTTTTTAAGGTTTTGTAAATAAAGTAATACTGTTTTGTAATCCCCAGGGTGTAGGAGAGGAGGTACTCCCTTCTCCATGGCCTATACTCTGGGCTCGGGGCCCGATGTGGGTCCTGCATTAGGGCCCCAGCACTGCGTCACAAAAGTGGAGCTCTCAGTCTGCGGTGCTAACCTGCTGGACCGCGACGTAGCATCAAAATCAGACCCATTCTGTGTTCTTTTCCATGATGTGGACGGCAATTGGGTGGAGGTAAGGAGAAGTGATATAAAGTGTTTACCTTCACAGAGTATTGTGGATATTACAAGTTAACCTTTAACTAAACTTGATGAGTTGGAGAGAAAAGATTCACATGCAGATTAATTAAGATATAAGATTAGAGATTAAGATTTAGAAATTATATATATATATATATATATATATATATATATATATATATATATATATATATATATATATACATATTAGGGGTGTAACGATTTATCGTTGTACAATTTATTGCGATGCAAAAATGTCTCAATATGCATCGTGGCGTTATGACGATTTGATTACGACATGACGTCCGTTTTCTCTTATTAGTTGAGCTGTTTGCACGTGAGCTACGTTCCACCTGCTGTCGCACGTGAGTTCAGATTGCAGCAGCAGTAATGTTAGCAGACCAAGATGAGTGGAGTTGAAATAGAGGATAGCCCATCCTCTCAAAATCAGACGTCTGCCAACATTTCGGTTGTAGAGTCATTGCTTTAGACTCGTCCGCTTTTTGACACGCATACTGGGTCAAACATCCTAAGTTTTAAAGTCTTCACAGTGATTTACATACTTTGCACAGCGACATGGATACCTCCTAATGGTGTTGAAAGAGTCACATACTGTATTTATAAGGTACAATTCATCCTAAAATATCATTCTGTCTTCATATAATGATGTATTGGCGGCCGCAAAATCACACATGACGTGAGCTGTTACTACAGAGGGCGGACTATGATAGACGCGCGCGTATGGCAAGCCGTTTTAGCATTTAAACCTTTGATCTGACTATCCATAAATATATTTAGAGATATCTCTAATTGTATTTTGACTAGTCATAATTATAATTCGACTAGTCAAAATATAATTAGAGATATCTCTAAAGGAATTTAATTAAATATGAATTAAATATATTTATGGATAGTCAGAACAAAGGTTTAAATGCTAAAACGGCTTGCCATACGCGCGCGTCTGCTTCAGTGAACAGAACCTGCAGGTTGTGACTAATAAAGTAGTAAACAACATTCAGTTTGTGGAACAGAGTGATCGTTCAGGAGCCGCGTGGGAAGTATGAACAGCACTTAGCAGTGGAAATGAAACCGAAAACGTACACATTATTTAAACAATCATATCGCATTTTAGAGTTATGATTACGATGAGCATGAACTCTTTTGAGTACAGAGGTACACAAAAATGCACGTCAACATGATACACTTGATAGCGCCGACATCAGCGACGCAGAAGAAATAGTAAACCTGCCTAAACTGCTGAAAAGAGCCACGACTGTCCTGTGTAAGTTAATGAAAAGACGGCCACCCTGTCACTCATCATGCCCAACATGAAGACAGCCATCCCTAAAAACCTCTCAGACAGATACACATAAGTTCAGGATTATCTTATAGAACTGCTGATTACCTGAAAATGTGGATTTTTTTTGCACACACAAAAAACGCAAGTGACCAAGCAAAGCCTTAAGCTCTTACTGTTAAATTCAATTGAAAGCTTATTTTTTGCACCTTTACTTAAATTGTTCCTTCATTTTGTCTCTGTCATTTTAATAATATTTTTAAGAAGTTTTTAAATAGTTTTATTTTCCAGAGACAGGCCTGTTTAATTTATTTTCTTAAAGAAGGTTCAGTTTAACAAGTTGAAACAAAAGAAGTACATAAAAAATAGTTTACTTGGTAAAATTTGCATTTCAGTTAAATTTTAAATTTTTATTCCAAATATCGTGATACATATCGAATCGTGAACATTATATCGTGATACACATAGCATCGTGAGCTGAGTGTATCCTTACACCCCTAATATATATACATATATACATGTTTTATAATATTATTAATTATTAATACATACATAGAAAAGGAAAACTCATCTGAATTTTTATCACTGAAAACTTATCACTGAGAAGCCTCTTGGGAGCCTTAGAAAGCAACATATATCCTTTGAGACAAATGCACAAGTTGATAGTGTGGAAAACTGAAAAAGATGGCATGTAGGAAGCAAAACAGGAAGAAATCTTTTTGAACATCAAATAAAGCGAATGAACTGATGAGCAAACTAGGTTGCAGTGTCTGAGCTCTCTATGGGACTGTGCCTTTAGAGCTCAATCATCACAGGCCAGAGTCACTGGTCAGTAGGGCAGGCCAGCACACAAAATCACTCTTCTACCACACACTGTAGCCATGGAAACAGCAAGAGACAAACAAAGGAATGCGCTTGTGGTAGATAAATGCATGCTAAAATGCATTCTAGAACATGGTGTTTAAAAATTTAGAACACTGATCACGAATGAATAAATGTAAATGCAGATAAATACTAAAAAGAAGCTGTCCCAAAATTCTTTCATGTTTTAATCATCTGTATATACCAGTATTGTTATCACTGTTCATAATAAATACAATATAATATTTCATTACTGTAAAATGGAATAATATATTTAATAATATTTGAAATATGGAGCACTTTTTTACTTTATAAATATAACCTTGTATTTAACTATATAGATTTGTCCCAACTATAATTTATGCTCACTTGCTGTTATGCTTTTTTAAAATGACTGTTATTATCATTTTAGCACCTTCTTAATTTTTTTTATTACAATAAAAACTAATTATTGAGAAACCCTTTGAAATTTACAAATGATTACATATTGTAAATCACTGTAATAAAAAAAACTTATTAGAATGGCAAAAAAGACTTGAAAATATTATAAAATAGTGGAATATTTTATCTCAGTGGTTCTCAAACGTTTATCATCAAGTACCACCTCAGAAAAAAGTTGTCTTTGCAAGTACCACCAGAATGAGCAGTATTGAAATACAGTAGCGTAATAGGTCCAGTAAAGCAGCTAAAGCGTATGCATATTAGTTCCTATTATTAAGAACATTTAAATTAAAATGTGCTTATAAAATTTAAAAAAAGGCTACTGTTTTTAAAAAGTAAAAAAAAGAGAAGAAACTCCTGGTTTATCAGCACCTGGAAATGTTGTCTGGACCTCATAAATATAGGCTTTATGTCATCTTATTCATGTCAGTCCTGAGTGTGTAATTGTGTACACATAAACCCAATCATTTGCTGCATCTTGTAAAAAAGTCTAATGACTTCAAGGATAGATGTGCAATCTTTTAATAACATATCCTCTGTTTGTACTTTCATCAAACCTGGAAAATTAAGTAAGTTTAAGCCAAACATCCCAGGCATATGTTTAAAATGCCAAAAACCTAAAGGAACAGTCTTTCACTGTATCTGGGAATGTGAGGTGATTCAAATCTTCTGGAAAAAAGTGATAACATTCATTTATTCAGTAAATTAATCTTATCACTTGAGTCATTGCAAAGTATAACCATAGGAGAGTGAAACTTCATGATTTGCATGTGCTTTAAATGCATTTCAAGCGAGTTTAAAGCATTCAGGCACACAAAAAGTACATTTGTAACTTTAATTGTAAAAATATCTCAATGTCATATTTGTCATATTTTATCTTGCGACTTTACTTTATATTGCACTGGAAAGAATGAACCACAGTGTAAGGGGCAAATATAAAGGACTGCCATACAATTTGGTATCTATTTATACAGTTTCTGCAGAGAGAGAGAGAAAAAAAAATATGTGGTTTAAGTCAGAATTATTAGCCCCCCTTTGATTTTTTTTCTTCTTTAAATATTTCCCAAATGACCTTTAAGAAAGCAAAGAAGTTTTCACAGCATTCACTTGGGTGGTACTTTTTCAAAAGGTACAAATTTGTACCTAAAAGGTCCATATAAATATCTCAAGGGTACATATTAGTACCTTAAAAGTTCAAAAGGGATCTCTTTTACATTTTTTATCTACTAATATATACTTTTGAGGTATCAATATAAACCCTTTAAGTACAAATGTGTACTGTACCTTTTAAAAAAAGGTACCACCACAGGTGACAGCTCGCGTATTTATTTCTAACAGTGTAGACAGGTTAGGCTAATGAGGCAAGTTATTGTATATTGATAGTTTGTTCTGTAGATTATCGAAAAAATATTGCTTAAAGGGGCTGATAGTTTTGACCTTAAAATGGTTTTTAAAAAATTAAAAACTGCTTTTATTCTAGCCGAAATAAAACAAATAAGACTTTCTCCTGAAGAAAAAATATTATCAGACACACTGTGAAAATTTACTGAACCTGTTAAACAACATTTGGGAAATATATAGTAAATATGTATATATAGTATCAGTACAAGCAACAAATTCCTCTCACTCATCTGACTGATATGTGCATATCATGTGCTCTTTTGTATGTAAAAATAGTTTATAGTTATGTCAATCTTATATGACAACTTCTCCACCAGTTAAAAATGTTTAATAATGTATAACTTCATGTTATCTTTCTTGACCCTTTTTTAAAATTAAACAAAAAACATATTCTATTTTTTATGTCTTTTCAGCTGGCTCGAACAGAGACGGCTATTAATAACCTGAATCCAGTATTTGGGGTAAAATTTCAAGTGGATTACCACTTTGAGGAGGTCCAGAAGCTGAAATTTGCCATGTTTGATGAGGACAAATGCAGCTCTCAGCTTTATGAACACGACTTTCTGGGCGAGTTCACCTGCACATTGGGAGTGGTACAGTAGCACTTTTTAATCAATAACATTTTACTTACTGCTATGGAGTAAATAAGAAACTATTTAAAAAATGTCTTTATGGTAATGTATAAGGAAAATGTTGTTATCTAGAGCTTCAATGGGGTGTTAAAATCATTAAAAAAGTATTATGGTTTCTTTCTGAAAAGGCGGTATTGATGTTTTTGTCCAATGAAAGTTAAGAAAGCAGTATGTGGTGGAATAAACATCATTTGTTTGTTAAAAAAAAATGTAATCAGACATTATTAATGCAACAAATGTTCCCATTTTACTCAAATCCATACTTTAAAACACAAGTAAATATAGTTAAACAAAGTATTTCCAAGTGATGTCTAAAATCTCAGGTCAATCTGCTATATGCTGCTTGGCATCACCCTAATTAGATAATCTCAAGTAATTACCATAAGCTTTTATGATCATAATTATGATAAATTAGCTTTCTGTATCGCCTCTACTTGTGCATTTATTGGGCCATCTGTTCTGTATTAGATCGTGTCAAATAAGAAGCTGCATCGACCACTGATTCTGGCTAATGGCAAGCCGGCAGGGAAGGGGGCCATCACAGTAAGATCCCGCATAGCACACCAGAACTGACATATGCATTGATAGAGTTTGTACGAGAGCTTCACGATCTGCTTGGTTTGGTCTAGATAACAGCGCAGGAGTTATCAGACAACAGAATAATCACCCTAACCATGTGTGGGAGGAAGCTGGATAAAAAGGTGAGTTAAGAGCTTTTGATAGCCATTCAAGCACTTCACAAAAGCACTCGTTGAAAGAAGATAATGATTTTGTTTGTGGCTGTTTTTCAGGACTTTTTTGGTAAATCAGACCCTTATTTAGAGTTCCACAAACAAGGGGATGATGGGAAATGGATGATGGTTCACAGAACAGAGGTAAGGTATTAAATAGATACCGTGTTGGTGATATTCTCATTTATGTAGACCAGGGGTCTCAAACTCGCGGCCCGCGGGCCATTTGCGGCCCTCAGTGCAATATTTTGTGGCCCGCGCCGACCGCTGTACACTGACAGAATCAGCGGAGCGGGGAGAGAGAGCGCTTCCAGCTCCGCTGATTCTATCCGTACACAGCGGTCACTGGCATTCCCCGCCCGCCGTGTAAACAAAGGAGCGGGGATGCCGGTGACGTCACCACGCACCCCGCCTCTTTGTTAGACGCTGTGACGGGCGGGAAGAACCAAGGTAAGCTGTTCCCGCCCCTGCCTGCCACTCAGCTACATGCTGCATATATTATAGGTAGATACAGACTGGTACAGACTGATGTGACTGGAGTGGGGTGGGGGTGTTTTATTTATACATATATACGCCTTTTTTTTAGGTGAGGGAATGGAAGTTTTGAGTGAGTTCCCCCACTTTTTTCCCTAGGACTAGGTCTTTTTGGGAGCACATATTTGTGTGAGAAGTTATTCTCCACCTTGAACTTCAATAAGTCAAAGTACAGGTCTAGACTTAATAATGATCATCTTCAAGCCATACTGAGGGTCTCAACTGCTTCCACTCTAAAGCCAAATGTGGTTCAGATTTGTGAAAAGAAGCGCTGTCAAGTCTCGGGCAGTAAGGAGTAGGCAAAAGATGCCATGTTCAGAAGAACTGTTCATAATCTTCACTCAATGTTCTATTAATGTTCAGGACACTTCATGTTCAGAAGAAATAATTAAAACTGTTAATAATGGCATTTGAGGACTTTTTTTTGTGAAATCCCTTATGCGGCCCAGCCTCACCCAGACTTTGCCTCATGCGGCCCCCAGGTAAATTGAGTTTGAGACCCCTGATGTAGACTATTTATTACTGCTGTTTTATCAGATGTGAAGCTTGTATTTTAGACTAGATCCATTCTTTTAATGAAAAGAATAATAATTGCCTGTGTGTGTGTGATATTAGGTCATTAAGAACACTCTGGATCCTGTATGGAAGCCTTTCACAGTGCCTCTAATCTCACTTTGTAATGGAGATGTGGACAGAAACATCAAGGTGTGTGTGTTTCTATGAAGTTGTTGTCTTTTACTGTCCAGTTTTATAGGATGTGTGTAAAAAATCTCAGTAGAATTCATGGCAACACTTCAGTTTGGTGCACAGTTCACTGTATTGAACCATTAACAGCAGCACGAGGGCTCAGTGGTTAGCACTGTTGCCTCACAGCAAGAAGGTCGCTAATTCGAGTCCCGGCTGGGTCAGTTGGCATTTCTGTATGGAGTTTGAATGGCATGGGTTTCCTTCAGGTAGTTTGGTTTTCCTGACAGTCCAAAGACATGCACTATATGTGAGTTGGGTAAACAAAATTGGCCGTAGTGCATAAGTGTGCATGTAAATACGTGTTTATGGGTGTTTCCCAGTACTGGGTGTCAGATGGAAGGGAATCCACTGCGTAAAACATGCTGAAATAGTTGGCAGTTCATTCCACTGTGGCGATTCCTGATAAATAAGGGAGTACGTTGAAGAAAAATGATGAACAAACTATTGACTAGAACTCCTGGGTTAATAAACTTCTAGTTAGCTGTTTATTAATAGTTAGTGAGGTAGAAGTTGGGTTTCAGTTTTAAGTAGGATTGGAGATGTAGAATAAGATCATACATTATAACTAATAATGAACAGTTAATAAATTAATAATAGGCAGGTAATAAGCCAGTAGTTAATAGTATGGATTGTGACCTAAACTAAAGTGTTATTAAACACAATGAATGTGTTTTGGGGTATATTGGAGACTGTGATCCCAAAAAGAAAAACTTTTCATATTGAAATAGCTTAAAACAACTTACTGTTACGGTTTAAAGTAACATTATTGACTGTTTTTTTACATGTGTCCAATCAAAAATTCAGTTGGTTTAAAATATAGTTTAACAGATGGCCCCTTACTCACTATTTGTCCCCAATTAGCAAAATTTACATTTACAGTATACATTTGCCAGATGCTTTGGAAAGTGATTTACAGTGTATTCAAAGTATACATCTTATCAGTATGTGTGTTCCCATGGATTGAATCCATGGTTGTTTTATAATGCATTAATACAAAAGTTTCAGTGCCATATGCTGCTGTTAGTAGGGGCACAAATTAATTTAAACACATCTCATGTCATATTTGAATATTATGCATAATACATTTGTTCATTTATATTACTACATTTTTTTCTTTTTAAGAAATTTAATTAAAGAATTCAGAAACAAATCTGTTTCATGTTTTCTAAAAAACATTATATATGTATAATAATACCAAATAATGATGCTTACATTGTGCTTAGCTAAAAAAGCAAACAAATCAAAACATATATATTAGGTCCATGTTTCACTTAACTTCAATATTCAAAGACCTACTAGCAAATATCAACCTGCAGCTCAAGACTGGTTACTCACTGAAGCTAAGCAGGGCTGAGCCTGGTCAGTACCTGGATGGGAGACCACATGGGAAAACTAGGTTGCTGTTAAAAGTGGTTTAGGTTAGGCCAGCAGGCAGTTCTCAACCTGCGGTCTGTGTGTGTCCTAATGCCCTAGTAAAGTGAAGGGGCACTATACTGTCAGGAGTGCCATCTTTCGGATGAGATGTTAAACAGAGATCCTGACTCTGTGGTCATTAAAAATCCCATGGCACTTTTCTTAAAGAGTAGTAACCTTGGTGTCCTGGTCAAATTCCTTCTATCTGCCTTGTCCCAATCATCCCCATCCACCGAATTGGCTCACTGCCTCTCCACTCCATCTATAACTGGTGTGTGGTGAGCACACTGGCACCGTTGTCCTGTGTCTGTCGTTGCATCATCCAAGTGGATGCTGCACATTGGTGGTGGTGTGGAGAGACCCCCCCCCCTTATGATTGTGAAGCGCTTTGGGTGTGTGACTATACACAATAAATGTGCTATATAAATACACATTACATTACATTACATACAGTATTCGAAGACCTACTAAGCAGTTTTGATTTTTCTCTTGGTCAAGTCTGTTTATGTCCCAATGAGCCACATTGTCACAACTCACTGTAAATATATGATGTCACAGGTGCTGTGCTACGATTATGACAACGACGGAGGCCATGATTTCATCGGCGAGTTTCAGACCTCCGTGACCAAGATGAGCGAAGCAGAGAACGGAGTGGAGGTGGGCTTGTCTGCAATTAACACCATGCAGATTCATAATTTCCACAATGTAGAAACTAAACGCGTGAAGTAAAAGCTTGGCTCACATTAACGCCTGCCGCTCTTGCGCCAGAATACTATGTGAGTACTAGCTATGCCTCATTATCTGGCATAATGAAGCTGAGAATTAGTGAGTGAGAGGGAGAGACAGAGGGAGAAGGAGAAAAGAGGTGGGAGGGAGAAACAGAGAGAGTAACTGGCTCTTTTGAGATGCAAATCGCTCCTGTTTTACCGCTGCCTTGTTTACCAGAACATGCATTGTGCGTTGCCAGTCACACTTTGGCAGAACACGTTTAAATGTTCTCTTGGAGAACGACTTAGTGTACTAATAAACACCCGTTCACTCAGGTACTGGCATTCTGCTGCACAGCCTTTGCTCAGAGATATGATGTATTTCGTGTCATGTTGTAAAGTAATTGAGCTCCCGCAGTGATTGTCACCCCTCTGTGTTCGCATTTCAGATGAATGATCTCTCTAGAACTCACAGATGATGCTGATACTTGGATTTTTGTTTCAGAATAGATTATGTCTCATTTTTGTGTCTCAGCTTTGTTTGAGAGAGTCCTTAAAATAATAATACTAGATAAACTCAAATAATTATTTTTACTGCTTGTTCAATTTAACTATTTAAAATGAGCTAAAACAACACAATTCTTGAGATTTTATTGGGACAACTTATATTTTTTATGTTCAGTCTACTTAAATTTGTTAAGTTAACTTAATCGATTTGTTCTGGGACAACATGAATGAATTGTGTGAAACCCTTTATTTATTATAGTGTATAGAAAGCTGATCTATTATTTATTAAACTCACTGGCCACTTTATAAGGTACTGTCCAACTGCTCGTTAACGCAAATATAGACATGGTCAGGACAAGTTCAAACCAAGCATCAGAATGGAGAAGAAAGGTGATTTAAGTGACTTTGAATGTGGCACGGTTGTTAGTGTCTGACGGGCTGCTCTGAGTATTTCATAAAGTACTGATCTACTGGGATTTTCACACACAACCAACTCTAGGGTTTACAGAGAATGGTCTGAAAAAAAAAATCCAGTGAGTGGCAGTTCTGCGGGTGCAAATGCTTTTTTGATACCAGAGGTCAGAAGAAAAGGCCAGACTGGTTTGAGCTGATAGAAAGGCAACAGTAACTCAAATAACCACTCGTTACAACTGAGGTATGCAGAAGAGCATCTTTGAGTGCACAACACATCCAACCTTGAGGCAGATGGGCTACAGCAGCAGAAGACGACATCGGGTGCCACTCCTGTCAGCTGAAAACAGGATACTGAGGCTACAATTCACAATTACAGACTCACCAAAATTGAACAATAGAAGATTGGAAAAACGTTGCCTGGTCTGATGAGTCTCGATTTCTACTACGACATTCGGATGGTAGGGTCACCAGATCTCAACCCAATAGAGCACCTTTGGGACGAGGTGGAACGGGAGATTTGCATCATGGATGTGCAGCCGACAAATCTGCAGCAACTGCGTGATGCTATCATGTCAATATGGACCAAAATCTCTGAGGAATATTTCTAGTACCTTGTTAAATCTATGCCACAAAGGATTAGGGCAATTCTGAATTCTGTACCTAATAAAGTGGCCAATCAGTGTATATTAACATGTATTATTTGTTTTAATTCTTCACCAAAATGAGTTTTTTATGGCTAATATTTACTATTTTATGCAAACATTCCAAATTACTGGAATAAATTTGTGTTTAATACCAGCAAGATGATGTATTGTTCTGTGTTGGATAAATGTTAATTGCCCCTCCATTGGACTTTGGTTAAGAAACCTTATAACATGTTTGGCTCTTAAAAAACTCACACACATAATAAGGAATTAATCTGCTTAATTTTGCAATATCTGAAGAAGCTTTTGAAGTCTGAAGTTGTGGAATGTGAAATGTGTTTGATTGGATTTTCTTTTTTTATGATTATTATTATTACATTTAAATTTTTTCCTTAAAACTGTCTGGGGTAAGTTTTGGATATTGGGGTTTGAATTACTGTAAAACTTAAAGATATGTTATACAAATTACTGAAATAATATAAATCATTTTAGACATGAATAACAATCAATATGTACATGTATTTACGAAAACACTATTTAATGTTGTCAACATTGTCTAATACATACAAAAACTATTTATCCTGCACTATAGTAACACAGTACCTTCCGTTCACAGGTTGAGTTTGAATGCATTAATCCCAAGAAGCAGAAAAAAAAGAGTTACAAAAACTCGGGAATCATAATTCTGAAGTCATGCAAGGTAAGGACATAAGAAACAAAGAATGGTGACACATTCACTATTCACAAGGCAAAAGAAATGATTAAATACATTCTGCTTGCACATTAAAGCACCTTCCATGTTCCGGCTTATTTAATTACAATTGTATTACAAATAAAAGGGTCTTTAATTGCAGCTTCTCTGAAAGGACAGATTAGTTTTATAGTGCTAAATCCCCTTTAAATAGCATGTATTAATATCAGCACAAAACACCTGTCACTCCTGCACCGTCACCATTTAATCAGCCCTATGATGGATTCAGGCATTAAAACAGAACATGACTCAGTTGTTCTCACTAAATTTTCAAATGAACCATTTTTCAACCTTTGTGGAAGGATGGCTTATGTGATGTGCTTATATTAATATAAGACGTGTGTGTTTTTTTTTGTTAGATTACAAGAGACTACTCCTTCCTGGACTACATTCTGGGTGGCTGTCAACTCATGTTTACTGTGAGTATGATAACGTCACCTCTGGAATTGAAATCTTTGTTCTTGTCAGATATTGGAGGGGAGGGGGGAGGGGGGGGGGGGTTCATGCATGCAAAATGCAGAAGCATCATTTGTATGCAGATGATTTCAGAAATATATTCTGTCACTGATGAAAATTTAATCTGAAAACCTCAATGACAGAACGCATTTAGAACGTGAAGTGACAGAATTGTATGGTTTACATTATTGAATTTTGAGGAGCTAATAGTTGAAGTCAAATTTGTTGATTCCGGTACGCTAAAAGCCTGTTTTTTTTTCCCCTTGCACTGTCCAGTTGAACAGACTCTATATATGGGTTCTTTATGTGACTCAATTGCCTTCACCAGTGTGATTGGTAAGAAATGATACAGAAAGTGAGTGAAATTCACAGGTTGCTATAGTTACAGTGTGCTGCAGTGTAGAGGTCCATGTCTCTCATTTGAAACTAAAGACAGAGAGAGAGACAGGGGGATGTAAAAAACAACAGAGGGAGAGAAAGCGAGAGAAGCTTTTAAACAAAGGAAAGTGATTTTGATATCTTGTTTGTTGTATGACGCCAACTTATGATGCACGCTTGTTTGTTGCTCTGCAGATAATCATAAGCCTTCACACTCTTCAAAATCAAGGTTCTTTATTGGTATGGCTGATTCCTTGAAGAGCCGTTAACATCACCAGACCACAATGAAACCACATAATGAAAATTGTTCTTTGAATAACTTTTCACCAGGAGGTTCTTTGAGGACCTAAAAAAGGATATTGTATGACATCACTGTGAAAAACACTTTTGAGAATTGTGAGAATTTATTTTGTTTCATGCAATTACAATCCCATTATAATTGCATGGAACGCATAAACAATTCTCACAATTCTTAAAAAATTGCTAGATTTTTTTTAACCCAGAAGCCACATAACTTGTCCAGATTACCTTTACTCGCTTTTATAGATATATTATACACTTCTTTTTAAATCAAGGTTCTTTTTTTTTGCACTTATGGTTCTATGAAAAACATCTAAATGAAGAAAGAACCTTATTATTTTACAACAGTTTCTTTAGGGTGAAAATCTGCAAAAAACATTTTGTAATATTTATTCTTAAAGTTTAAGATTATTTACATTGGAGACATTGGACTCTTGAGTCAGGGAAAAAGTATTTGCATGAAAATGTTTTGTGTTTTTGTACCTCCATCAGCAAATTATATTTAAGCTAATATAGCTAAGAAAATTATGTCAACATTGCTGGAAAAAATTATGGTAAGGTTGGATTTGGGGGTATTACCTTATTGTTACCCAGGTCCACTGGCTATGATAAACATATATTCACATGCAAATCATTCAACTTGCATGCATATATGGGCTTCCCTCTTAATACTAACACACACTTAAAGCCCATCTACCTTTTTATAATCGTCATTGACCAATGGTAGTTTAAAGGTGTTTATCAGCTGGAGAGAACGTTTCAAGCTCTTTCCTAACTCAAAATGAACTTTGTTTTGCTTGACATTACATCACATTAATTCAGTATATTTTAATTCAAGAGTTCACACTTAGCTGATGATTGATTTTAAAACGTTTTTGGAAAGCTGTCTCGGGAGAAAGCCCTGAACTCATAATATCCTCGAACCCAGGGTTCCCTCAGAAAACTCCCCCCTTATAAATGACAAATTAGGGATTGCTATGTAGACATACAGTTTAAGTCAGAATTATTAGCCCCGTTTGATTTTTTTTTTTCTTTTTTGAATATCTCCCAAATGATGTTTAACAGAGCAAAGAAATTTTCACAGTATGTCTGATAATATTTTTTTCTTCTGGAGAAAGTCTTATTTGTTTTATTTCAGCTAAAATAAAAGCAGTTTTTTAAATTTTTAGCCCCTTTAAGATATATATTTTTTCTGATAGTATACAGAACCAATCATCATTATATAATGACTTGCCTAATTACCCTAACCTGCCTAGTTGACCTAATTAACCTAGTTAAGCCTTGAATGTCACTTTAAGGTGTTTAGAAGTGTCTTGAAAAATATCTAGTCAAATATTATTTACTGTCATCATGGCAAAGATGAAATAAATCAGTTATTAATTTTCGTTAAACAGAAATTGGAGAAAAAAATAAACGGGGCTAATAAATCTGACTTCAACTGTATACTGCTGAAGTAGAGTTTAATTATAGTGGCAATTTGGATTGGTCAATTCACCTATGATGCTTGTCTTTGGACTGTAGAAGGAGACCGGAGAACCCGGGGGAAACCCATGTGAGCATGGGGAGAACATGCAAAGATGCACAGAAACATCGACTGGCTTGTTAAGGACTTGAACCAGTGACGTGCTAACCACTGGGCGACCGTGCCACCCTATTAAGGGAAAGGAGTAGGGGTGGAGGATGAGGAGTAGGGGTGGAAGGGGGATTCTTTAAGACGAAGATTACTGAAATACGAAACTCTGGTTATTTATAGTGAGTTTAGAATCATCTGATTGGTGAATCATGATCAAGACATGATCAATCATAAGCATGTGCTCCTCTCGAAATAAGTGTATTAAAAAACTTCTCGTTTGGTATTAAGAGCAAGTAAATGATGGCATAATTTAAATTTACTAGGGTCATTATTTGTAAATATATATATATATATATATATATATATATATATATATATATATATATATATATATATATATATATATATATATATATATATATATATATATATATCCAGGTAGTTCTAGCTAAAATGTAGGTAGTTTCAGCATGAATTCGTGACTTAGGACATTTACTGCTTTCCTGACTAAAATCTCTCTATTGGTCTTAGAGGTTCCAGTGTGCTGGTAGGTGAGATCTTTTTCAGCTGTGATCTCTGTTTTCTGTTCATGTGCAGCAGTTTACCAAGCGCTGCCAGCATCTTTATAAAGCCGGTCAAGCTCAGGGGTCACCAGTGCGCAAACAGTCTCCTGAATGCAGCATTCATAAGAGATGATTTCTCTTTATATAGAAGACAGAGAACGGCTTTAGGTTTTTATCAGTAGATCAGAACACTGCAAAGTACATTCTGGAGGAAGAATTAGGGAAGGTCTGTGGGCTATTTTTCAGATACCAAACTTTTAGTCATCAGTTGCATAATCTCATTTTGAGCTGTACTTCTTAAATGAACAGGTCACCCAGAAATTAACATTTTGACATTTTTTTGAAACTGTGGAGGAGAGAGGAACAAAACATCTCTCATTTTTCACAGATGAACGGCAAATGTATTTGAAAGTTGTTTTGAAATGATAAGTGATAAATGATAACATTCTCAACAACAACAAAAAAATGTTGACAAATGATTTTCTTTTCGGGATATCTCATTTCATAAACCAAATAACTTTCGAAAGACACTTAAAGGTGCAGTATGTAAGTTTGAAACCCAGTGGTTGTACTAGGTATTGCACACCTTGTTCAAAATACCCAAGCGCAGGTATCCAGATTGACGACATAAACAAGTGTGCCTGTCTGTTGAGCTTAAAAGCTGATTAATGTCATGTTCTAAATAAAAGCAATGGCACGCCATATAATACAGATAGAACACTTTCCATATTAAAAGGAGTTTTTGTTTTAACCACCACCTGATATATTAGGAACGGCAGAAAACTGACAATGATCACCTCTGGTATACCTCATGTGCTTTATTCAGTGTTAAATGCTAATAATGTAAGTTTAAATGCCATTTTACATGACATTTATTGGCACACTAGTGAAAGCAGCAGCAGATAGTTTACCTCAGATCTTGAAAATAAAACAAACCATTTGAAATTCAACTTTACAAGAAGCCAACACATATGAGTGATTCAGCATGTACATTTAATAAGGTTAAAGAGGTTTAATATGTATTAATTATTATATTATATGTATTATTATTGTTATAAACCCTACCATTTGTTTGTTGAAATGCAGTAAGTGCACTATTCTGTGTTTCTGAATGGCTGTATTTAAAATTCTATCATGTTTCGTCTGGTGCAAACAGCCAAATTTCTGTTTAAGCAGTCTGAATTTTATCACTGCAAATCTCGTCATGCAGGATGTTGTTAGGACACCGGATTACTATGTAACCTGTTCATCTAAAGTTCACATTTGTATATTTATATTATTTTTTAATTAATAACCACCTCATGTAAAACTCTGAATCTGCGTCTCATTTCTGAGTCTGCTACTGTCCACCGGAAGCCACTTTGACATACACTTTGAGAGCCTTCTTGACTGAATGAACGAAATATGCTGTTTCCCACAAGGCAAACATTCTTAAATAACTGCAAGCATATTATGCCATTCTTATGCTTTAGAAGAGTCAAAAACGTACATACAGCACCTTTAAGTAACATGTGAAAAAATCAGTGCTTAGTTAATTATTCAGTCATTAGATTAATTGATTATCAGAAAACTATTGGTTGCATTCAAGGTTTTGAAATAAGGTCAATAAATGACCACAAAATTTTAATTTAGGAGTGAACTTCATTATGTTGCATTCAAAAATCGATGTTTATAAATACCAGTTTTGATGTTGCATAAGAAGGAAATCATCAAGTCACTGTAAAAAATGTTAAATAACTTTTCCTCGTAGCTCATGTTTCAGTTTTCAGTTTATTTTCACTTTAAAATTGCATTATGGAAACTTGATCTGAGATCTTTAGAATTTGAACTTTACAGCTTAACAAAGTGACTCTTGTTTTTTGCTTTGCAGTTTGAAGCTATATATTGTATGAAAAATTAGATATGGAAAAAAAATACTGTAAAACAACCAAAAAGTACTGGCAGGCCATTACCGGTTTCTGTACAGTAATTTAAATGACCACTATATTGTTTCAAACTACTAAGAAATGCTAAAAAAAGGCCACTTTTTGCTTAAACATTTTCATTAAACAGCTAATTGAGCTTAGATCAAGCTTTAATAATGCAAAGCACACATGAATCCCAAAATTAAATACTGTTCATTAACTGAACGTTTTTTTTTTTTTTTAACAGATAAGGAGCTATTTTAGATGCACCCCATTTCTTAAATAAAGTGTGGAGGGTGTATTGTATATTCCACAACCCAATAGTTATCTACTGCAAGACAGATACTCTCAGCAAAAATGAGAATTTTACCAGTTGAAACAGTCACACCAGAGGAAAATATAGTAGACATCACTTCGGTTTATGCTCATGTGCTAAACTTCACAGCTCAGTCACCCGGAGGCCATGACAGGCTATGTGAGGACGACTACAATAAAGGGCACCCTCATTCTGTCACCTCCTATTCCCTTCGTCCTATCATTTCCACCCTCTTCCCTTTCCTTTTCCATCATTAAGCTGTTTTCAGCCTCAGGGGAGGCGATCATCCAGTGGTTAGGTGTGCTCTAGCAAGGTTAGCTGTGCACTGGTAAAAAAAAAAAAAGCGTGTTGCATGTCTGCTGGTTCATGACTGCCACAGGACCGAGCTATCAGATCTCAGCTTGAGCAGAACTGACGCTTCAGCCTCCCTGGGTGATAACAACATCGCCTTTAGCTATGAGCTTTGATGCCCCGCTAACTGACAGGAAAGCTTATGAAATGCATCGTACTAACAGCTGCTTGTATTTTTTTAATAGACCAGCCCAATTGGCATGCATTATATTGTGTATGTGTGTTTTCTCCAGGTTGGCATCGACTTCACAGCATCCAATGGGAGCCCAAGGGAGCCGTCGTCTCTGCATTATATCAACCCAATGGGCAGCAATGAATATCTGTCGGCCATCTGGGCTGTAGGCCAGATCATCCAAGACTATGACACGTATGTAACAGTGTTTTTTTTTTTTTAACAAAAACACACTTTAAAGGTCTACATATGGCCACAAAAGCGGTGCAAAAATCTCACTCTTTCTTATTCACACTTCTCGTCCACAGGGACAAAATGTTTCCTGCGCTTGGATTTGGGGCTCAACTGCCACCCGACTGGAAGGTGAGAAAAAAAAAAAAACGTTTATAACCGTGGATTTATTTTTGTGCATAACTTCATCCTAGTTGTCCTTTTCTATGATCAACTGGAATTGAATATGGAGGTCTGCTAAAGCTTTTCGCTAGTGTGAAATGGAAACGAGAATTTGAAGTGCAAGACAGAGAAGAGGCAGATAAAGAAAATGAATAATACTCACATATCCCAATGATTATGCAACTGTCATCCCATCTGCGTTGCCATGGCACTGGAGTGAATACAAGGAAGTCTGAGGGGGGGGGATTTCACAGGGAATGAATCGCACCCGTTGATAGTGTCGTTTATTTGTGTGCTTTGCATTTGTTTAAGCACTAATAGGATTGTGCAAATGGTGCCACTTATCTGTGCCACTTCTATAGATTCCACATGTGCCCAGTTATAATGTTCGTCTCCATTATTTGATCATCATTTGAGTTGATTGAGATGATGAGTAGAAATTGTACACATGTATCTCTTATAACATAAAATGGCAAAAAAATAGCACTTACAATACAATAGCACGTATTTATATTTAACTGTTTATACAAAAGAAAGACAGATAAATTAGTCTTACATTGCTTATTAGATCATTATTCAATTAATTATTATTTATAATAATTAAATATAAATATAATAATTAAATTATAATATAATTTAATTATTATATATAAATTAATTTATATATAACTTTTTTTTATATAATTTTTTATTTGTAGTAGCAATAAACACAGTACAATGATTCCACTTAAGAGAAAACATTTCCCACTGCTTAACATTTTTCTTTTTCACAAACTCTAAAGTAACAGAGAAAAAAAAAAAAAAAAGGTTTCATCAAATACAATATATAAAAATAACAGTAAAATGGTAACATAAATAATATCAATACTAAATTTCCATAGGTCAGAGAGGGTAAAACCTTTATTTATTCATTCAACTTTAGGTTATTATCAACTGTGAATTACTAATTTAAAGAGAGGATTAAGAGGGGGAGTGCAATGGGTCGTAAATTGAAAAATGTTTGTTATGTGGATGGGAATTAGATAGTAATAGTTTTATATTTCTATGAAGATTGGATGGAGCAATCTAACGTAATCAGTCCACTTGGACCAGATGTTCCTAAATGTATTAATTTGGAGTCGAAGGGAGAATGTAATTTTTTCCATCACATAAATATTATATACTATCTCTAGCCATTCTTGGGTTGTTGGGGATTCAGGAAGTAACCAGTGTCTTGTAATTGCTTTTTTGGCTGCGATTATTAAAATATCAAGTAAGTATTTATCAGATTTACATATTTGGATATCAGAGCTTCCAAAATAAATAACTATAAATTGAAAGGGTAGTGTAATATTAAGTATGTTTTCTATTACTCCATGTACTTCTACCCAAAATTGTCTTATTACTGGACATTCCCAAAAAATGTGCCAGTGATTAGGTTCCTGAGACCCGCATAGTCTCCAGCACTTAGTGTCCTTTCCTGTGGTGTATGCTCTTTGTTTTGGCGTGATGAAAAATCTCATTAGACATTTCCATCCAAATTCTCTCCACATATGTGAATTAGTACATTTTGATGTAAATCTACATATGTCTAACCATTCTTCCTCCGTAATAATGGAATTACTTTCCTTTTCCCATTTTTCTTTAACATATTCCGTTGAATGGGGTTTAATCGATCTAAATCCTTTATAAAGTTTTGAAATTATACCTTTACTCCCACTGCCTTTGTAGGCCTCTATAAAAATTTTCAGTATTGAGTCATCCAGATCAAGATTTATCAGATTTATTGATTAAATCAGATTTATCCAGGTTATATTCTTTCTTCAGACTTTCAAAGTCTTTAAAAAGGCCTTTCTCTGTGAGTGAGTAGAATGTTAATATTCCTAATTTATATATAACTTATAATAAAATTACCATTTATAATTATGACTTTTGAAATTGCTGTTTAACAAGGCAGAAAATAATTATAAAACACTTCTCCCATTGGAGTTTTTTACTTGCAATACTTGACAAAAATATGATTTCTACAATGAATGTTGTGCCTAATTAATTTATGATTATGAGAGAATATGAATATGTGGCTCAAATTTGGTATAACAATGTAAATTCTAGTTGACATTCCTCTGTGCTGTTCAAAATGGTGAAATATGGAGAACTCTCCGAAAAGGAAAGAGTCCCTATTATAGCACTTCATGATGCTAGATGGTCTCTCTCTTAACAGGGAGACTAATATTTTTGTTAAGCACTGTACATGTGATATGTATTACATTTTCTCTGCAATCCAAAGGGTTTGGGAATACAAATATACATTAAATGGTTTAAAATGAGACATTAAATGTTACAAATACTTAATATTCATTAAAACATCAAAATAAAATACACCCACCATTCACTTTATAAGGTACACCTGTACATCTGCTCCCTCACACAAATTTCTAATCAGCCAATCACATGGCAGCAAGTTAATGCATTTAGGCATGTAGACATGGTCAAGACAAACTGCTGCAATTCTAACTGAGCATTAGAATGGGGAATAAAAGGGTAGTGGTGACTTTGAATGTGGCATTATTGTTGGTGCCAGATGGGCTGGTCTGCGTATTTCAGAAACAGCTGATCTACTGAGAATTTCACGAACAACCAACTTACAGAGAATGTTCAGAAAAAGAGAAAATATCCAGTGAGCAGCAGTTCTGTGGGCGCAAATGCCTTGTTGATGCTGGAGGCCAGAGGAGAATGGCCAGACTGGTTCCAGCTGATAGAAAAGCAACAGTAACTCAAATAACCACTCGCTAAAACCAAGGTCTGCAATAGAGCATCTTTGAACACACAACATGTCCAACCTTGAGAGGGGATGGGCTACAGCAGCAGAAGACCACACCGGGTGCCACCACTGTCAGCTAAGAACAGGAAACTGAGGCTACAATTCGCACAGGCTTACCCTAATTGGGCAATAGAAGGTTGAAAAAATGTGGCCTAGTCTGACGAGTCTTGATTTCTGGTGCGACATTCGGACGATAGGGTCAGAATTTGTCATCAACAACATGTAGTACTAATTAAGCATCTTGTCAATGCCACAGCCTACCTGAGTGTTGACAAATCTGCAGTGACTGTATGATGCTATCATGTAAATATGGGCCAAAATCTCTGAGGAATTTTTCCAGTACCTTGTTGAATCTATGACATAAAGCAGGGGTTCCCAAACTTTTCAGGCCGCGACCCCCAAAATGACAATGCCAGTGACTCGTGACCCCCAATATCCTCTGAGGTGGTTATAAATCAGAAACCTTGCATGCAATGGCACACACACACCAATGGACCCAAGTCTATTCTTCTTTAAATTTTATTTTTTTTGTATGAGAGCTGTAAATGGGCCACAAAGTTTAGCCAGGTGTAAAGAAATCTGCTGCATCTGACGCTATTGCTGTGTCTTTAATACAATGCAATTACCCCAGGGGTTGCAATCCAATAGAAGTAGTAACTATAAGCTACTATAGTAACTATTATGGTATAAACTACCATTTTTTTCTCTTCAGAAGGTTATGGATAAAATATGGTAATTCTTATGGTTTAATAAAAATAAATAGATTTTTGGAAACCACCAGGCGACCCCCCTTCATTGTCCCGCGACCCCTCGGGGGGTCCCGACCCCCACTTTGAGAACCATTGACATAAAGGATGAAGGCAGTTCTGATAGCAAAGGTGGATCCAACCCGGTACTAGTAAGGTATACCTAATAAAGTGGCCAGTGAGAGTATATCACAATTTCCAAAACATTGATAATAATGCTTCTTGAGCACCAAATCTAAATTTTAGAATGGATCATGAGTTGCGGAAGATAGGGAGAATATAACATTGATTTAATTTGAAATAATAAAATAATTCTGATCTAATATACGCAACATAGGGAAGCATAAGAGACGGAAACTTAAGTGAAGATTTCAAATACCTAAGTGAAAGGTAGTAATGGCAAAAATACATTAAAACAATCTCAGTATTTTTGGATTTTTAGCTGATCTTATTCCATTGTTTTTTTTCTCTTTATATTCCAGGTCTCCCATGAATTTGCAATCAACTTTAACCCCACCAACCCTTTCTGCTCAGGTGAGGTTTACAAACATTGTCTGTTGCATTTTCAGATAAAGTTGAAATGTACAATAAGTTAGCATTATATCCTTTTAGGTGTGGAGGGGATTGTTCAAGCTTATTCCAACTGCCTGCCTCACATCCGCTTCTACGGTCCCACCAACTTCTCCCCCATCATCAACCATGTGGCCCGCTTCGCTAACCAGGCTCTCCAGCAAGACACAGCTGCAGTAAGTGCTAAGAAAGATCTAGGTTTTTTTTTTCCAAGATGGAACGTACTAGGAAGGAAGTCTATCTGTTTACATTTGCTTTGTGTTAGAAAGCATCCATTGCTTGGAACTGTAAGCCAAACCTGTGTTGTTTTGCATTTAGCTTGTTTGGATTGTACGATAGCTTGTACACTGATAAATTGATGGATTTAGCAGATAACTCTGAAGCGCTTGCCATCTGTTGGCCATGGCAGGCTCACATGTGAAGCTGAAGCACTTTGGAAGTCCCTCTGGATGAGAGCATCTGCTAAATGCTTTAAATGCAACAGCAAATGACTGTCTCGTGCAATTTGCCTCATGTCACTATTTAGCAGTTTAACAGTTAGTGGTCACTCTTTAAATGAACAGAAATCATGGACTGACGTGTACTATGTGTGTCAGAGAAGTCTGCATTATTACATCTCATTAGTTTCAACAAATTGGTCTAAAGGAAAAGCTGGACCTACACCCACTTTACGCAGATTTCTCCGCTGAGCGAGGAACAGTAGTACTCTGTGTTCTCCCTTAAACCTTTAGTGGAAACTGTGAAACGTCCTGGTTTCCTAGATATGTGCAGCGTTTGAGCGAAGCATAGGCGGGCATAGCAGAGCTCGGTTTCTTCAGAGATAGCACAATGTGTCTGTGTTTCATCGGGCTGGGTGTTCCTGCAGCTTTCCACTTGTGAAGTTCTGCTCGCTCTAATAGCTTCCTGTGTGCATGTGCAACATTTGCTTAAAAAAAACCCCTCAACACTCAGAACTGTTGCTCTATAAGTGCCTCTCGACTCCGACTGATTATAAGCTAGCAATTTGGCATTAATTGCTTACATAATCAAATGTAGATTGATTTCTTTCTTTGAAATGTGTTTTAAATTCATGCACTTGGAAAATACCTTATTTCATCTGTAGCACAGATACTTTTACTGCTAGATTGATCATCTATATTCAAGGAGATAGAATAATGAAAGTTCTGTCATGATTTACTCCCCCTCATGTCATTACCATAGTTTGGTTTTCTCTCTTTTGTGGAGCACAAAAGGAGAAGTTAGACTGAATGAACCAGCTGTTTTTTGTTCTCCATGCAGTGAAGTAAAGGGCGGTGGTGAGTGTCAAGTTCAAAATAGGCATCATAGAAGTACCATAGTCATCTGTGTTGCTCATTTCCTATTGGGTTTAAAATTATCCATCAGATACCAAAAGCAAACAACCAACAGTGTTAATATCTGCTTAAATATAAATATGGGGGTCTGCTGTGTCTGAAATATTAGACATACTTCAGATATTAGTGCTGGGCTAAAATTAAACTCGATTAATTACATCCAAAATAAATGTTTTTGACTTTAAAAATATGTCTGTATTGTGTATATTTTATATAGAGAAAATCTTTATTTATATTTGGTCACAAAGTATACATGTATATGTTACAAATTATACATACTTTTAAATATCTATGTTGCATTGTTTTGTTTAATTTAGTTTTTATGTATGTGTGTATCATATACATAATAAATAAATAAATAAATAAATAAATAAATATATATATATATATATATATATATATATATATATATATATATATATATATATATATATATATATATATATATGTATATATAAAATACTGTCACACCCCATTCTAGGGTTGGTGGGAGCAATAACAAGGTATAAATTAAATGTAGAAATAACAAATTAATAAAAATTAAAAAAGAAACAAATAAATAGGGCTTTCCCCTTCTCATTTTCCAGCTCACAAAAACCACAACAGGTATTTAGGAAGGAATAACAATCTTTATTTTCAAACTAAAGTATTTCAAGCTAGAATAATTTATTCAAAAGGGAATCCAGGCCAAAATAATAAACAAAAAGACAACTAACTTGCAGGGAAATAATACCTAACTTAGCTGCTAAAATAAAGTACCCCACATGAAATTACAACAAACTTGCTTTTCTCCCTCGCTGCCACAAACCAGGAGAAAACAGGATTTCAAAGGAAACAAACTTTAAATTTGGATGTGATAAACTGTGACTATTCTTTAGCCAGCTCAGTTGAAGAATTATTAGCCCTCCTAAACTATTAGACCCCCTGTATAATATTTTTCTAAATTTCTGTTTAATGAAAAGAAGATTTTTTTCCAACACATTTTTGAACATAATGAATTTGATAACTAATTTCTAATAACAGATTTCTTTTTATCTTTGCCATGATGATAGGACATAATATTCAAGATACTTGTATTCAAATATGTCAATCATCAGTCAAAATTATTAGCCATCCTGTGTTTTTTTAAGCTGAATAATAGTATCTTGAAAAATATTATGTACTATAATATATTGACAATCAGGTTATAATAGTTTTTGATTTTTTTTCATTAGTTTTATTTATTTATTTATTTTTTTAAATACAGTAATTTTCATTTGTTTTTAGAGGTAGGTTTACTAATTTTTATTCATTTCTATATTTTAAAATTGTTTAGTTTTAGTTTAGTTTTTATTAGTGTCAGTGTTAGTTTTATGTTGTTTTTTTATTGCTATCACAGCAATTTTAGTTTTTTTTTTTTTTTCATTCGTTTTCGTTAACTATAATAACCTTGATACACAAACAGTCAGGATCACTAGTTTGCAGTAGTAAATATATGCAGATGCAAAAGAAATTAGTTGTCCAGTCTTGGTGGTGTTTGTGGTGTGTGTGTGTGGGACGGGTGTGCTTACTGGCGTAATAGACAACAGAACTGACCCTGTCTCAGCAGAGCCTAATTGCTCCGTAAGACACGCAAAATGTGCCTCCGGTTGTTAGTTCTGAGGGGCTTTGAACAGCACAGTGCACACAATTTCTCCTGTTCTTATTATCAGCCCTGTGGAAAACAACCATTAAAATCTCTTTTCAATTATGGCTATTTATAGAGGTTGATTCAGCGAACAAATGTTCTCTCTTTTTCCCCCAGTTGTTCTTGGGTTTTAGTGACTAATGAGGCTGCACCCTCAGGTCTGAGATGTGTACAGGCCAGCAGCAAGGCCAGCTTCAGAGGAGACGGAGAGACGAGGCTTGCTTTTTTGTTGTTGTTGTGAGAGCAAGGTTACGCTGAATGCAGTTATACTGACAGCTGGCAAAACACACTGCTGTGTGGAGAAATTGATTGTAACAGATGCTTAATTTGGGTATAATTATGTTTTATACTAAATGTAAAGCCATTTGAGTACATGTCTAGGTCAAATTGCACCCAAACAATTATATCATTTAAGAAAAGGAAGCCAAATTATTATATAATGTCTACTGCACCCCACGCTACTGAAATCAGCTTTCAGAAATTATATATATATATATATATATATATATATAAAATTATTATTATTTTTTTTAAATATATATTAGGTATTAATATAATATGTTCATATATTGGTAAAAATTACACATATTTTTGTATTGCCTTTATTTACAAAGCTATTGGAGTAAAAAGCTGTATATAATAAAATAGCACAAAATGCATATGATCAAAATAAATACAATTAGGATAAATTATATTATGAAATTTATTGCTGCAAATATTATCATATTTGAGTGATAATACAGTAATTATAACATTTACTGCAAATAAAATAACCCTCATGCCTTATTTACTTAGTAAATAAAGCACAATATATATATATATATATATATATATATATATATATATATATATATATATATATATATATATTTATACAACAGTTCTGTCTGGTTCTCAAATCTGATTGGCTGATAGCCGTGCCATATTCTGCAATATCAGAACTCCTACAGCCTCTTTACCCTTTGTGTATTACTCCACCCACATACAACCAGCAAAAAGCAGACACTACAGATCTAAAGTTTAAAAGATGCTTGCTCAACTGTTTAACTGTCAGCTTATGATTTGAATCCAATGTGGAAGAAAGTAGTTCCACATACAAAAGGGTTTTTGAGACTCTCCATGTTTGATTTTGTTTTTATATACACAATTATGCCGTCAAACTGTAGTATAAACGCAATATCACACTCGTAGCAGTATAAATTACTGCTTTTAAAAAGTATAAATTCATATATTTAAAAAAAATTACATTTGTCATTTTTATTTTATGCATTGTGATTTTTATATATCTATTATTTATTGTAATACGAAAAATCTTTAACATAAAATGTAATAAAATATATTAGATGCCTAATGAAAACTGAAATGAGAATGAATGATAAAAATGCCCTAAAAACATATGCTTCATTGTCTTTCAGCAAAACATAATTACTTTTTACTGATTTGAGTTTGGGTGCCAAATGAGACCTGAACAATGGTTTCTTGTCATTTGCCAAAAATACTTAATGAAATAAATGGCTGAGCCTGTTATACAACAAAATAAAACAATGCAAGCCAATACATAGCTTAATCTCTCTTGGTGCTTATTAAAATCGTCCTGCCAATCAAAACTATAACCTGGATGAGCGCAGACAGTTCCTCTGGTGGCGAATCATCAGGGTAGTGCAGCACTCAATTCATACTTCATAACCAAATGATTGGCCTGGAAGGAAAACTTAATAGTTAGTTATTATTTAACCTCCTTCAGTAGAGCCTAGAGCGCTTTCTATCCCTAATTGCACCCTGTCACCTCTAAAGGATAAAAATGGGTAGTGGAGAGAGAGAGAAGAATAGAGCCTTAATGCAGTGGGAGAAAGATAATGCTGTGCGCTCGTAAGCTCTTCGCACTCGCACTTCAAACCATACAGTAGTCATTACTTGCTACCACTACAGCAGAATGGCCAATAGGTCACCATGACATATTAAAACAGACAAATTAATAAAGACCATTCAAACATCACTTCCTTGGATTTGGATCATAGTTCCAGCACCGCCAAAACAGTAGTTTCCCCCTCCTCACTTTAGCCTTCCTCGATATCTTTTTCTTTTGTTGAAACTTTCTGGAGCTGGATGATAACAGGACTGTCTCAGTCCGGTTTCAGTTTGTCAGACAGTGATCAGG